CACTTTTGATCCATAACCTTCATAAAGGAAAAAGCTCGTCTTCTACCTTTTAATGATAGTCAACCATTGATTCCCCATTGACGAAACCGGCCACATTTGTGTTAAATTATTACGTGATCCTCACATGTTCAACTTTATGAACATATGTTTTTTTTCCCAAGTTGGACTAATGCCACAGTTATAAAGTGAAGCACGTTTTTCATGATGGACGCAGAACAATTTAATGAAGATATGGACAGTTTCCGACATAATGACTTGATTGTATTCATTTGCGGTGGTGAATTTGTTCTCGAGCCTTGTACACACCATCCGTCACGCTATGGGATTTGGCCATGCCCAAAGTCATTACCTTAACTGTCAAAACTTTGCAGTGTCTAATATTTGATGGTTTGTCCAAGAGAAACAAGAAACGCGTGGGGAGAATTCTGAAAATTACTATTGGATGCGCATAAGGGTTACCCATTATATCCTTCATTTTCTACCTCACATGCAAAGAAAGAGCCAGAGAACGTTCTAGTTCATACGGACTCTCCAACGAAAGGTTGAACATCTTACAACGTATATAAGTTGCATATATTGTGAAGATGCCGTTTAAAACTTCAAGTTCGCACAACTAAAGCTTAGGCACAATTGATAGACCTTCAAATGAGCCCTATGGTTCTATAATATAGCATAAGATGGCGCCCCAAGAGCGTGGAAACTTTGGATTTTTTGTTGCTACTGCAACATTTGCGCAAACATGAACCCAAAAAACCCACCTGCTCAATCATAATCCAGAATTTTTTTTTTAAATGTTACTGTTTAGCTTATCTGGAAGCTCACGTGGCATCCACGACGTTGAAAGACACCACGTGTTTAGTACGGTATACTATTGAATAATATAGTATTTTCTATTTCCTCAATTAATGCCATCAAATAATTTTATCCAGTCATGCAATAATTGTTCAAAAGAATCTGAATCCCTTTTGATAAAACACTGATAGTAAAAAGTAAATAAAAAAAGGAAAAACTGTAGTAGATGTCCCAAACCTTTCATTTTGCTGCAAATTATACCATAACCTTTCATTTTTGCTGCTGCAATCCCAAACCTTTATATTTAATTGCAATCGTGGTCCAAATCATTGATTTCATCCATAATGCCGTTAGTCAACAACGAAATTGAAATTGTAACTCAAATGGACAAATTAAATTAGGGACATAATGGTATATTTACAATTTTCATAATAAAATAAAATTATTTATTTATTTATTCATCTTCCCCAATCTCCCCACCCTTATGCCCCCTCCAATCAACACTTCAATCCAAACTAAATCAAAATCTCACCCCATCATCACTGTCACGACCACCGATGATTTAGGCAAAGATGCAATCAATTTATGTTCTTGAAATCGTCAATTATCAAAAGAGAATAGATACAGAAGAGACTTCACCATCTGGTGTTTGTAATTTAAGTAACCCCAATATACTCGATGAATTTGGTGGAGTAGATACATATGGAGTCTAACAGGAACTTGCTTGTGGCATTGATAATGAATCTTCTAACATATTTACATTATCAACGTCGAGTTCCGATGGAAGTGTGAGATTTAAAATAATAAAAAAGATGACTTCTCACAATCGTTATTCATCGAGTTATATATCTGGGCAGGGATATACGATGGAGCGTGAAACATCTAGTGCTCAAGTTGACACATTAGTTGTACAATCTCAAATTCTTGGACCTATTAACAAAGTATTAAATGCTAATGCTTCTTAGCATTAGGAATCTCAAGTGAGTTTGGCAGCAGTTTCACTAGTAAATTTGTACAGATTTGTGTTTGTGGCTATCGAGGAAGATATAGCAGGGGATACATCTTACTTGCAGTTAAATATAAAGGTTTGGGGTTGGGGCCACAAAAATGAAAGATTAGGGTATAATCTACGGTAAAATGAAAGGTTTGGGTCCTCCATTGCAATTTTTCCTAAAAAAAAATGACTAGCTTATAATGTTAGGATTTTGTCACTTAGCTAAAATTTTAAGAAAATACTATTTCTTTTGTGAAAAATCTTTAAAAAGTTAAAATAACGATCTTACCACATCATCACTTATCACAACTCTTGTACGGCACGTTCCCAATGGTTCATCACTTACTTAAAATTATACAACATTTCCTTTATAATGATAGTTTTATACTCTCCATGCATATTAGTATGCAATACTGAATCAAACTCAACACTTCGGCTTGAGAAGAATTTATAAGCGATTTATAAATTCTTTTCATTTTCTATTTGAATTTTACTTTTATTTTCAAAACTAAAAAAGAGACTGAAATAAGTGGTAGATAAATAAATACAACTTGTGAATTTATTGAAATGTATACTTGAAAATAAAATCGATCATTTATAAATAATTTAGTTTATGTATGGCTATGTTTATCAAGGATTTATATATACTCAAACCACTTTTTATTCATACAATCCACAAATATCTTCCATTTATCCATAACTCTGTTTATAAACATTTCTAAAATACTAGTTAAAGTGAACGGGCGTTGTGCGTTATTCTGAAATAATTTATAAATGTCGTGAAAGTAATATTTGACCATTCATTTACTCTTTTGATCTAAATATAAGCGAAATGTAAGCTTCTGAAAATAAATGTTAATTATTATACACGCATGTAAAAATAAAAGTTGTATTAGAATTACAACTAAATATATAAATGAAGATGAATAGTAAATACGATACATGAATTAATGTGAATGTTAATTAATTTGGAATTAATATTAATGAATATATACGTGACAATGAATGTTAAATCATTTATATTAAATAAATATATTTTAAGTTATAATTAAGTGAAATCGGATGCTAATTAGTATATATGTCCGTGAATAATGAACTGCATCCTTGAATTTGAAATTCTAATTAATGTTAATGAAATGAATGTGAATATTAATTAATTGAGAATTAATAACAAAGACATGAACGTGAATATGAATGTAAATGTGAAATTTTAATTAATATTAATTAAATGAATATGAATGTTAATTAATTGTGAATTTTACAGTTCATAAATTAAATACATATTGAGCCCCTATTTTGGGCACATTTTTGCTACAAAAATGCATTTTTTGATGTGATGTGGAATATGTACTTTAAAAAAAAAAGAAAAAACTATTGATGTGATGAAAAATATTATTTTATTAAAGAATGTGTGATTGAAAATGAGTAGAAGAATGAGAATGAAATAAATAATGTGGCTCAAACATGGCTAAAAAACGAAAAATGAGATATTGTTAAAATAATTGATTATAGTAGGGTCATAATCGTCCAAAAAATGATGTGATATATATGCCTTGTTTGTTTCTGATTAAAATCAGATTTTAATCTAAATCAAAATTAAACAATCAATATTAACCACATTTTTTTATGGATTCCACAACTTTTCAACTACACATTTCAAAAACTTCTATCACGATCCACTAAAAATCTAATTTTAATCTCCACCAAACATCCACTTAATATATTATAGATGTTTTAATAAATTTGGCAAATAATAATAATAATAAATAAATAAATAAACCGTTCTTTTATTATGGGGTTCATTATTCTTTATTACAAGGGAAAAAATAAAACGACATTGCTTATTTCATAATTTAGCTTGTTGGAGCTACGTTAAAATTTTCATTCTTATTCTTTACTCATTTTCATAAAATAATTTTCCATCACATCAATAATTTTTTCTTATTTTTCAACTACACATTTTTCATCAATCTAATATTTTAAAATACATTCTTCCAAAATAATTTGGGTCTAACGCATCTAAGCTTTCTTAGAGGAGAAAATCAAGAAAGTGCCTTTTTCCAAAACATTTGAACTTCAATTTCAAGACGCCAGAAACAAAATAAAAAACCCAAACACAAAAATTACCAATAAACTAAGAGTAATGTTATTCATCCTCAATTGGGATGAAAATACAGTTTAAGTTAATTAAATAATAGGTTAAATGGAATACTTATTTAATTTCACATATCATTTAATGTCGTTTAATGTCGTATTAATGTCATCTAGGCTCTATTTTCAATAGAAATGAATAGCATTACTGCCAAAGATCTTTTCCAGTTCAAATACTAAGCCAGTTCAAATCAAGAAAGTGCCTCCTTCCAAAACATTTCTTTTATTAAGCGTCTTTCAGATCTTTTCAATTCTTCGTTGATTTGATGACCTTTTAGTCTTCGTTTCCACTTTTATTTTTCTGGTAAGTCTCGAAATCATTTTTCGTCATTGTAATCAGCACATTTATTTGGAAATTTGTGTTCATTAGTGTGGATTTAACATGTGTTGCTGTGAAGTGGAAGTGGGTTTTGTGATTTGGGTTTTTGAGTCTTGCAGTAAAGACTGGATCTTTGGGTGAATTTGAAGATCTAATAGGGAGTCTATTCTGTTTTTTTTTCTTTTTTCTTTTTTTTCCTGATTTGTCTCTTTTTTCTTTTTCCTGATGTTGTTATATTCTACTATTTGTGGGCGATTTTATCTTCTTTTTTCGTGTTCTATTAGCATCAGATTTCCATTATTTTTTCTTAATGGTTTTAGTTAAACAGGGCATTGTTTGATTTGTCAGAGAAGTGGGAAGGAATGTCAAAACTTAGGCGTTTAGTGTTCTTCTTAGTTATAAAAAAGATTTTAGCTCTGCATTCTTTAAGCTTTGGAAGAATTTCATATTATTGATGAAGATATATTTTTGCTAATTGCTTCCTGGTTTCGGTTCGCTGTAATAATGTCGTATGACACATTAATGGTTGATTGTGATTGCTGTGTTGAACTGTTTAATTTTCAGTTAAAAAATATGGCTTAATTTTTAAAATATAAATACTTATGCCTGTTATTTGGCTTTCGGGAAGTGAAAAGACAATCAACATTGCTCTAGTTACTGAATAAACCATTTTCTTAGAAGGGTTTTGTGTTATCTGCTAAGGCTTGTAATGTGTATTATGATTCCTTTAGGTATTTGACTACAATGGATGCCGATAATACTATATCCATTTTTGAGAAAGGGGCGGATTTTGAAAATGGCGATCACCACCAACTCCTGCTCGGTGGAGAAGAAATTACTTCCAAGAAAGGAAATGGAATTCCCAATGGAAGCACAGAAGTTGAAGGATTGAACAAGAATCTAGAAAATAATCTGGAGTTGAGCGATGATGTAACTCTTGATTCTTCTGTAGAAGGAGTCTTGGACGAATCTTCAATGCCACCTAAAAGCATTTCCGTCACCATTTCCAAGGTAGGCGATTTGGAACCGTTTAGCTGGTTGATGCTTAAAAGTTACTTTTCTTGAAAGTAAGTTAAAAGCAAGTTTAGTTAGTAAATAAAATTTGAAAATCATGTTTGAAAAAGTAACTTAAGTTTGACTTACTTTTAAGCCGAACATGCTCTCAGTAATTGATTTACTTATAGGACCTTGGAGTTGAGGAGTCAGAAGAGTGTAAGAATTCTAAATCACAGAAGGGCATGGGCAAGGCCAAGAATGGGAAGTCCGTATGCATCAGACATGGGAAAGATGTGGCGAAATCTTCTGTTGGTTCAAATGGTTCAGGCGATCAAAAATCATGTCCGAAACAGTTGTCTGTTCCCCAAACAAGGAGTAGGTCAATTAATGGGAAGCAAGCTGCTGATGACTCAAAAACAGCATCTCCTCGAAGTCCTATAGCTGGAGATGCCAAACCCCAAAGATTGGGTGCTCTTCCTAACTATAATTTCAGTTTTAAATGCAATGAAAGAGCTGAGAAAAGAAGAGAGGTTAGACTTCTTCTGAATCAGTGATTCCAACTATTCAATGTTTCCTGCATGACCTGGACCTTAGATGTGTGTCTTATTTTGTTTGAGCAGTTCTATACGAAACTTGAGGAAAAGATCCACGCGAAGGAAGCAGAGAAGAGTAATTTGCAAGCCAAAACTAAGGTGAGATTTCGTACCATATTATGACTTCAAATTTTCAGTGGTGGATTGTGAGATCAAGTTTCTCCATTCATAAATAGGAAACCCAGGAAGCTGAGATTAAAATGTTAAGGAAGAGTTTGGCATTTAAAGCAACACCAATGCCAACCTTTTATCAGGAACCTCCACCACCGAAGCTGGAACTAAAGAAGGTAATTTGTTGCTCGTGATACATTTTGAATTTAAAAAATGTTTAGTTTCTGTTTATAATATGGAATGCTGTGTTAAAATGTAATAATGAATTTGGAACATTTATGCGGTGTATCAAAGTGGGCTTTTTAAAGTTTAGCACTTGAACTTGATTGATTGGATTTCGATGTATGACAATCTGGATAAAATGTTGACGAATGTTTTTTATGCAAGTATGCGAGATCTTAGTTCACTTGCTGCTTTCGAATACAGCGGTAAATATTATGCTTCTCGTCGTGGTGGTAGATAATTTTGCACTGATGTGTTTTTGCATAATGCGTTGACATCAAAACTAAACAAGCTACAACTCTGTTTGCAAAGTTTGGATAACACTTACTATGCTTGGACTAATTCGAGGGTGCTTGCTATTTTGATTGTTTCTTTCAGAATGTGTTATTTGGAGCTTGCTTATTTAAAATTGTAGAACAATTGTCTACTAATACTTGGGAAAAAATATTGATTCGGTCTCTTCACTGTAAACTGTTAATGACTTGTGCAACATTTCAAGCAACAGATTCCAATGCTTTAGTTTTGTTTTGTTAGGTGAAGCATTTTTTTGCGCTTAAAATTTGGAATGGCAAGAAAGCTTAAAATAGTTGGACGCAGCTCTAGAAGTAAAAGCAAAGAAGTATCTTATGTTCAGGAATGAAAAATACAATTTGAAAGGTTGTACGTTCCTGTCGTATCGTGTATCCTTGTACGAATCCTGTGAGAGAATGGACACATGCAAAGTTATTTGTGAATTCCTCAGGATAACTTTAGCAATTTAAAGTACTGCATAAAGATCAAAGTTTATTCTCACCCAAGTCTATGGCAAATTTCAATCATGAGGTTTCCAAAAGACAAGCCATCCACGAAGTACTTACCTTTTAGAACAATTGACCTAAATTATCCATGTTTGGTAAAATGGAATGCATGATATAAGATAAAATTGAAGAAGAAAATTAAGTTAAAATCTTTTTCAATGTATAAGACAGACATACCAAAAAATACTTATATAGCAAAAAAAAAAAAAAACTTAAAAATACGGTGTTTGGTTGTGAGGGAGATAAGACCATTTTATTATTTTCCCTGTCCTAATGACGTGTAGAGTGCATATAATTGTGTGCGTAAGAATATTGTGGGTGCATTCAGGAATAAAGGGTGTAATTCAGTTCGATGAGCACACTTGTACATAATCATATTTGGATCTTTTTATGGTATAATCTTCTGAAAGTATTATCTTATTGAAACGTTAATGGATTTATTGGGAGGGAAAGACCAACTTGTTATCTGTAAGAAATAGGAATGTCTAATTAATAGTTTGGTAATAACTATCACCCGGCCATTTAGGAGAGGTCAGTAGTTCCTTGAGATTGAGTTATACCTAAAAGTACATTAAGGAGATTACTTATTAGCTAATGTGTTGTTCGTATGACTACTTTGAGTAGTAATGAAAGGGTCTGCGGTGGAAAAACACAGCATCCTCCATATGTAAAATTTTTGGAGCCAAGAAACCAGGCACTTTATGCAATAAATATCAGTGTTGTGTATGTCTAATTTTCAGGGATATTTGATCATATTTGGCTAACCTGAAACAGTTTGCTCGTGTAAGTGTTAAAATAAATAATCTTTTAAAATAAATTTTATCTGGCATAGTATCATTGTTAGCTTTCATGGGGTTTATTTAAGATCTCTTACGGGGGGTGCTTTGTTTGGATTTCATTTTCTTTTGCTTAAATTTTACTTATCAAAGTCAAACATTAATTTTAACCACACATTTCGTACTTATCCCTCACTCATTTCTGGAAAAAAGTAAAATTTTAGCGAGATTAAATGAAACTCAAAACAAGGCACGGTGGCTTCAATTCTCTTATATGTACATATTATGTTCGTAAATCTGTAATTGCTTTCCTCAGATTTTTGCAGATCCTTCACTAAGATTCTATGTGAAACTTTCCTGTAAAATTGTTATTGCTTCTTACGTGAATTCTGTTCCCTAATATTGATACTTTGATGTAGATACCTCCAAAGAGAGCCAAATCTCCCAAGCTTGGTCGGAAAAAGACTTCATCTATTGCCAACTCTGAGGAAGATGGTGCTTGCCCAGTTAGGCTAAGCTTGGGTGAAAATTTGTCACAAAATAATCCCGACAAAGGACCACCTCTCGTTCATGTTAAGAAGCCTCTACGGAAGTCTCTTCCTAAGTTGCCCTCCGAGAAAACCAGCTTTTCCAATGAGAAAAGAAAATCTACATCTCGCAAGATCAGCGTTTCCAAGGAAACAAATGAAGCTGCAAATGATACACTAATAGAGGAGGAAAGAACAGGTGCTGAGCAAAGCTTGAGTCAGCCCAATGGAGATGAAGTGCTTGTTATTGAAGCTCAAGAACAGAATGTGTGAGTGCTATGTCAATGGCTCTTTATACGGGATGTTTATCTTACAAGGAGTCTACAGTTCCCATCTTTGCCTAAAATATTGAAGACGTTTGAATAAGAGAGTTTACCCAAAAATACAGGCATGAAAAGACATTATGTGGTGTTATTTTGAAATATGATTGTCACCTGATGTCAAAAATGGAGATTTTGGGGGCATTTCTGCCATAAAATGGTTGAAGATTTTTGTTGGCTGGTATTGCTTCTGAATGTTGAGATGAACAAATTACATCTTTTGTCAACTAACGTGTATTTTATTTGTTTGAATTTCCTTTTTAATCATTCTTTGATTGTTGCTCATTGCACGTCAGGTGCTTGTTTGGTATGCAATATTAGATTGTTCAAGGGGGACAAAATTTTAGCCTCTATCGTAAAAGAAGAGAAATAAGATAATAAATTATAAGAGAGACAAGATAATATAAAAAATCTTTTTGTTCTTTACATTGGAATGATCCATAATCCCACATATTTATAGGTTTCATCATGCATATAGGTTACAAGATTTTAATAGGAGGAGATATGGAATTGAATCTTGTAACCTATGAATTTGACATGATAGTCAAATGCCATTTATCTATGAAATAAAATTGTGATTATGCCATTTCATCAAAGGTTTGAATTCTATGGATGGTATTGACATCAACACTATTACAATTTTATAATACTCTCGAATCTTTATTTTACAAAGCACGTCTCTCGTTAAAACTTTACTAGAAAAACTCGATGGAGAAATTCTAGTGAAAGAAAAAAGAGTGTAATATTTTTGTTATATGCAATGTAGAGCTCCCATTAAAAATTTAGGGGGACATTGGTTGAGGAAAAAAATGCAACGTCAATTTGCTCTCCCTCGTGGTAGTATTACTTGAGATCTCCGAATCGAAGCATTTCAATATTGGGCACAACTTCTCAAATGTTGCAGTAGATATGCCTTTGTAAATAGATCTATTGAACATCAATTTCGCCACTCGTCAATATCACGTCATCTCACCCTTTGAAAAGTTCTAATGTGTTTACTATAAGGATATTTGTTACAAGGGAATCCTATTCATGCATCGGAAAAGTCCAAAATGGCAAACGAAATATTAACCATCATGATGCATAGCTACATCTCTATTAAATTGCAATTAATTTCAATAAAAATCGACAGCACATAAATAATATTTTTTTTTTAGTAGTTGAAACTTTTCTCTAAAACTCCAACTCTACGGTGTTAAAGTTCAATACACAATAGAAGGAAATGTGGCATGCAGAGACCATGCTGATTTACTCTAAGTTCAGTTTTTTAAATACTTTGTTCCAGGTTTTATGTTGAAGTCAATGATTAAGCTTTTTAAAATTGGTAACTTTCTGACATAAGCTGTAAGTTCTCTACATAAATGGGTACTATCCGAAAAGGTCAAAACGTCCCTTCTTCTCCCGACTAGGGTCTCCCCGGTTCAGTTCTTATGTTGCTGTTGTACTCTGTCTCTGGTCTTTAGTGCAGATTTTTTGTCAATTTGACGAGAGATCTACTTATTATGTTAACTATTTTATAGTAATGTGGCAAATGGGAAATATACATTAACTAATTTCCTGGTAGATGAACCATGGACGGTAGGATGTGACATCTTTTCCATTGATTTTAGTTTGTGTTTCCTGATTCTCTCTCTAGCTTCTGTAAATTAAGAAACCAACTTTATCTAGACTAAGGAAAAGATTTAAATTTGGTTAATGCAACGATTTGATTTATAAATATGTCGTTGAAAACTAGTAAAAAATTGAACTTGGAGAGGTCCAGTGGTATTACACATTGATCTTGCCAAGTCTTCCATGCTTTGGAGAAGAATTGTTCTTCAACAGCTAATACATTTTTAGTTTTCTTATTCCCACCTAAAAATAATACACTTGCATCTCAAAAGACGTCAATTACTTGCTGTTTCAATCTTTCTATCATCAACTTCTTCAATTAATTGAAATAGTGAGATGACAGCAGCTTAGAAATGATGATGATAAACAAACCAGCAAATGGAGACGATTATTTTAAAATCTTTCCGATTCTTTTGCCACTGTCATTTTAAATTACTGTCACAATCGTTTTAATTTTTTTTATTGAAAAAAATAAAATTCATTCTGTTTTTTTCTTGTTTTTCATAAAATTGCATTTAGAAACACTTTTTTCTTTCCCTTGCACACTTTTGCATAGTCGGCATACTTTAATGATCAATTCACTGGTAAACGATTACCAACTGTGTTTTAATTTTGTACAGTTGGCATATCTTTTAATTATTATAGAAGTTTGTGTTAAATTATTTATTAATCACATAAGATTTTCTCTTAGCAGATTAAAAAAAAAAGTTTAACAAAGCCGTTAGGTTAAAATCTTTAAGAACTAAGCCATTAATTGATTGATTCCACGCAAATTTATATAGAATATCCTTCAAGAGGACATGGCTTACATTACATGGAAAATACTACATTTTTTAGAAATCTTTACTATTAAGAAACCATACAAAAGAAACATTACTCAACACTTATTCAGTTACTCATTTTTATTCTTCATAGCACACGATATATCTTTAAGAGGACGACCAAATCATAATATTTCTTTTCTAACCGATGTTCTACGAGAATTGTCCTTGAAGATATTTAATCACATTCGCATCAACTTGGAAAGCCTTGGTGAGAACATCAATATTAATGGGCGGGTTGGATCCAAAAACTGCATTTGCAATTGTGATGACTCCTGGGTTTTGACTGCTTAGACCAGCAAATACAACGGCATTAGTCTTCCCCACATTAAACTGGAAATGAATGAGACCTTCTGGAAACACGAAGACGTCTCCTTGATACAAAGTCTTGGTAAAGAGTTTGTTATCTCCTGGATTCAAAGTCTTGGTAAAGAGTTTGTTCTTTACGTTTGGATCTGCAGGGTTCGAAGTAACGAATCCAACATACAGAGTACCCTCCACAACAACAAGAACCTCAGTGGCCCGGGGGTGCGTGTGGGGTGGGTTGAGGCCATAGGGTGCATAGTCGATACGAACTAAAGAGATACCAAGAGTGTTGAGTCCTGGTAATTGGTTGACATTCACGGGAGTGACCTTTGATCCTTGGGCATTTGATGTATTTCCGGGCTTGTTCAGTCCACGAAAGAGAAAATCATCGGCACTAACCATGTTTGGATCCTTGCAAATCTTTCCATTCACAAAAACTGCAATAAAAACAGAAGTCGCTGCTAAGCTATATATATGTATATACCAACATAATTTTGTACATAAAGCCCATGTTTGTATGCCATTATTCCAAAAAATTGTTTCCTACATTAAGATTTTTCACCATACATTCACTCAATAAAATATTCTATACACAAACCAATAATGTTACTTTACTTTTCAATCACACATTCTCCAAAAAATACTATTCATTACTCTATTTTTCTTCCAGTAATGAGAGACGAACACACCCAAAATGTAGTGAAAATTGTCATAAAAATTACAAAAGAAACTGAATGCAATAAAATTATATTATTCTCTAATGCAAGCTTGGTAGGAGATACAACATTAAAAGGAAAAAGGAAGCTAAAATTTTGTTAATTCTATTGTTAATTAGTATTGAGTAGGGACATAGTGCACACAAGATAAAGTTGTTATTCTAGGAGTGTAAAATGCATTTACCTTTTGCTTCAGCATCCTTAACAGCAACACAGAAATCCTGCAGGGGAGCGGGATCAGAAGCATATGTAAATGAAACCAATGAGATAATAAGAATCGAAATTAGCAAGCGAACAACCATTTTTAGTACAACCGTTCTTTTGTTTTTTGTTGTGGTTTGTGGATGTTTACTTCGTGAGAGGGGATTGCCTATTATAGTGCAGCATTCTATTTGAATTAGTCATCAACTCATCTTTTCAATCAAATAATCTTGCCAAGTCTTCAAAACATAATTAAATATATATTTTCAAGAGCTGGTAGTTTCAAACAACTAACACTGTAAAATATTCTTGAAGTGTTCTCATTTATTAATTAGTCGTTGATCAACTCATAATTACCTAACCACTCTGAAAATTCAGTCTGTCTTTTGAATTAATTGTACTTCTAGGAAATCTTTTTTACCGGACAAAATAAAATGCAGATGCAGATGCAGATGCAGATGCAGATGAGAAACTATAATATACATAATTCCCGATGCACTATGCTCAGACAGTCAGACTGGATTAAATTATGGAAATTATTGATAATTCATTAGTTGGCTGGCTAATGGAAGTTGTTCACCAATTCATTAGAATTAGTCTGCCGGCTTTTCTTTTGCACGTGGATTAGGATAGTTTCCATTTTCCTAGTCTTTGTGTATAACAATTTCAAGAAGAAATCTTCGTTTCTCGACAGTCGACACTGTCTGTCCAGTTTTTCTACATAGAAATGGCCTTTTATGTATCTCTGTTGCTGCATACATTAATCTGGCTTTGTGATCGAGTATGACAAACTTCAGTAAGTCTTTAACCCGATAAATATTATTAATGGTCAGATATATTAATCACTGTCGTACATTACACGGTCTTCATGTATACTATCCTATTTTGATACATATCACGATGTTAAGTTGCACCAATTTCATATGTAATGCAAGCCAGAGATGCTTAAGACAATCCAGAATATGCTGTTACTGTTCAAACCATGCACATAACGACAATTAGCCAGTAAGAGTAAGTAGCGTTAAAAAAGGATTTTGGTAAAATATGTTTAGTTTTTTCGCTTTTAACGAATCTTTCCTTTAATTGAGCTATGCATGTAGCATTATCTTCGTACATCGTTGTTGGAATTCCTTAGATGGATAACTTTAGCAATTTAAAGTACTGCATAAAGATCAAAGTTTATTCTCACCCGAGTCTATGGCAAATTTCAATCATGAGGTTTCCAAAAGACAAGCCATCCACGAAGTACTTACCTTTTAGAACAATTGACCTAAATTATCCATGTTTGGTAAAATGGA